ATGTGTTGGTGCAAAAAAACCATAGTTGCAAAAAATTTTGTTTTGATCTAGCTCAATTCTAACATATAGTAATTTTAACAAAACGACTTACCGCTATTTTGGCAAACATTTTATATTAAGTATTTGTCTTATAAAACTGTAATACCGGTCTCATACTATACCAAATATATCATTCATAGTGACTAATATGATTATGGTATAAAACTGAAAAGATTTATTTTTTTATTTAATCTGATATCTATTAATATTTAAAATATAATAGAAATACTTACTTTTATCACCTACTACATATTTATCATGCTTTTTACGTTCAGCCAATATTTTTTCGGTTACGTCCCGGAAATAGTCAAACGGTTTGAGGGGAAAGGGTTCACATTTGAGTAGTCGGGCCAACCCCGGGAAAAATAGCGATAAAATGACTCCCACACTTAGTGGTGGGTCCAGTACTTTACGTACGTTTACGCACATGGGATGATCTGGGTTGTCTATCGAGTTGATTTCTATGCCATAGGCGCATGCACATAGTACGTCTAGTGTGAATGCACGCAGGTACTTTTGCATGTCTATTGATTTGCCTAATATAAATTGTGTAAAATAAATTATAATAGTATATTAAAATATGATGTTAAACTAAATAATAATAAATACAATTTTACTTTTAATTTACCCTTTATATTATTAAATTAAACTTGAAATTAAATAAAAATCATAACCATATTGTATCCAATATTTAATATTACATTTAATTTCTAATAATATAAATTATAAAATAATAATTTACAGCTACAAATTAAAGCATCAAAAACCTTAGCCATAATTTATGTAAATGTTATATTTTAATATGTATTTAAATAACTACCTGTCCTTTCGTACTTCACAAGCATATCCACCAACCGGTTGGTTATGTCCGATATGGGTCCCATCATTGCTCGTAATTTCCCGGATGTAAACGCCGGGGTAATTATATTCCGGATCCTTTTCCAATCATCACCACCTTTTCGGAAAAATAGCCCCTTGCTCAAATGGGAACTACCGAAGTGAATATTGTTAATATGGTCGGGAAACGCGTGAAAGTCCTTGATGAATATGTCCCGAAGTAGTTCAGGGTCGTTTATCATGATAGTATTGCCCGATATGGTGTACATGCCGTATACACGACCATATTTGCGTGTATTGTCATGGTCATATTCGTGGGTGTATTTAAATAATTGAGTAATGTCAAAGTAATTTTTGCCGGGTACACCGTGGCGACTCCAGTAGGTGTATCGGTGTCGGAGGTACCTAGTTAAAATAAAAATAATTAGTCTGTAGTATTGTTTTCCAATAATAAAATATTTATGACATTTAAATTATATACCAATTAAATTTATAAATCTATTACAGTTTCTAAAAGTATACTATTTATGAATATAATAATAATAATAATTTTTTATTTATAATTATAAATGTAATAAGCTTACCCGATAAATATTGAAATTGTAATTGTTAATACACTTAATAAAGTTATTAAATCCATAATAAATATAAAGAGTTTTAATTTATTAAAATAAAATTATAAATTTTTATAACACTAGAATTATATTACAGTTTAATAAATAGTTTTCAAACAAATTCTTTTTATTTATATACAGAATGTTTAAAATTTTATCTTATAATTAAACAAATGATAATATTTCTTAAAGATATCAACTTATTATAACCAGGGTATATTGCCGTAAAATGAATTTGTAGACAATATAATTAATAAATTAAATTTATTACCAATATTTAACGTTAATAATTATGTTTTAATACAAAGAATTATATTATAAATTTAAAAATGGGTTTAATTTAATTATTTATGATGAGGAAAGACAATTATTAAATTTAATAACCAATGTGCACTAAATATTAAAATTATATCTTATCACTTTATTGTTGTAGTACACCATGTCTTTGAATGCACTAACAAATTATCAGTTAAAAGTGCACCGGTATGTAATAGATTAATGTCAGAAATATACTATTTATTTGTATTAATTATATGGGAAATAATAACAATATAATTATTTAGTATTAATAAGTATTTTTAAGTTTAAATGAATACTTTCAAACTTTTATTTATATAATATTAAAGCCTTTTAAAAATAGCCTTAAAAATATAAAAACGATAAAATTTCATAAAATTATATAAAATTTACACAACCTGGACATAATTCAGAATAATCTAATTGTGATGAGAATACCTTAAAATAATCAAATAATATGCTAGTTTAGTAAAATTCCAAATTAATTTTTAAGTTTAATTTAATAATATCACTAAATTTAATATCGTTTTTAGTTTTAATTACTTGGAGATATTTTATATAAGCTACATGGTATTATAATTAATTACAATAACTTATTACTATGTCGCTATAGTACAGCTTATCGTTAAATGCACTAACAATTTGATAATAATTTAGAAAAAATTAATTAAATTGTAGAATTTTATAATTATTAAAAAATATTATTTAAGTAATCTTGGCCTTCTACGTGCTCCAAAAATTTTAAAATAAATTTTTATTGTAAATATTTCATAGAAATATATATTAAATTACAGTCTTTATAATTTTTTATCAAATGTCCTAATAGTATCCGTAGGTCGGTGGTTCGAATCCCGGGGAATCTTCTTTTTTTTGTATTATAATATAGTTATTATTATATTATAGTTTAGTTTTATTTTAATTTTTCATAAAAAAATATTTATTAAAATATATTTTGATATTAATTAGATTATATGCATAATTAATAAATGTTTAAAAATTGAATTAATATATGAATTAACAAAATACACTGTAAAGTATTAGTTATGCTTGAGTTTGTAAACATTGGCCATAACTGACGTTAACCTGGGTATAAACCCTGGTGATTATATCTATAATTTTATATATATTATCAAGATAACCACATATTTAATTGCCACTGTCACGTTATATCCTTAATTGTAAGAGAGTACAGTTAAAAATGAACCGGTATATAATTAATGTATATTAATAGCATAAGAAAATATATTATTTATATTTTTTAAAAATGCAAAACTAATAAGAACTGAATACTATTTATAAAAATTAAGTTTATTAATAACATGAAATTACTTAATTACATATTTTTATTTATTATTCTTAAAATTATTTTTATTGTGATAGCATGTATAATAAAAAGTAGCCAGTTTAATTTCTCGATTTAATATAGCACATAAGTGTCTTAGGTGATAGTGCGGGTTGACCCTTAAAGTAGTCCATTTTAAATCCAGGGACTAATTTAAACTCAAATTGGTGCACCATTTTGGCCAGACACATTTGCATTTCATTTAATGCAAACCGTTGTCCAATGCATAACCTAGGTCCACCACCAAATGGCATATAGGCGTAGGGATGGTGTTTAGGTTGAATCCAACGTTCAGGTAAGAAGTCATTAGGGTTGTCCCAATATTTAGGATCCCGGTGCAATGTGTAAGTACTAACAGTCATAAAAGTACCGGCTGGTATTGTAATACCTATAAATAAATGATATTATTAAATATTATTTGAGAAATACAATATATTAATTCATTATATAATTTAACCTTGGTTAATTTTTAAAATTTTAATTTTTTAGTAAACTTATTACCCAATTTATAAATATCGATTAAATATACGATAATTGAATAAATATTTTAAAATATATGTACAGTATGTGTTGGCATTATAAAACTATAGGTATGCAAGTTTAAAAACGTAAATATAAAATCCTAAAAAATATTTATTGATTACCTGTATTTCCGAGGGGGTAGTCCTCAACACAAACCCGAAATAATCGCAAAAACGACGGCGCGAGTCGTAGGGTTTCACTGATGACTGCATTCAAGTACTTAAAGTGAAACAACTTTTCGTACGTAAACTAATCGCATGTTTTCAACTCTTCGTACAGTTTCTGTTGACACTCCGGATGGAGGGACAGGTAGTATATGGCGTGAGTTAGGGCAGCACTGGTAGTATCGTAGCCGGCGATGAAAAATAGGATTCCCTGGGCTACCATTTCATCAATAGACAATGTCCCTGATGGCTTTTTAAATGTCTGTTCAGCGCTTTTGTCGTCCGGTTCCCTATCACTGATAGAGTCGTATCCGAAATCTTTGTCCGACTTTTCCGAGTCTATCATCAATTGTATGAAATCTGTGCGACGTTTAGCTATAAATGTAAAAATATAATCGTTTTAACATTTAATTATGATTTAGATTTTGTTTGTATAACTATTACTTACAAATACTATCAGTTTTATGATTATTATGTAGTTTACGTTCATCGATGATCTTTTTGGTCAAGTCGTCGAAATAACGACAGGCGCTCATATCGAAGGGTTCGGCGCCTATTAGCCGTCCCAACGCCGGGAACAGCGCCGACACGACGATACCAACGCTCGCGTCGACACTCAATATCTTGCGGGCGTTGAGTACCAGCGGATGGTTAGGGTTTTTGATGGACTCCACGTCTATGCCGTACCCGCACCGGGAGATCACGCCCATAGCGAAAGCCCCCACGTGTTTGCGTATGTCTATGGCTTTACCTAGGGTAAACATTCAAGAAATAAATTATTCGGTTTCTATAAAATATTAATAAGTAATTTTGCCTGCTGTAATTATTCATTTATTTACTATAATATATGGCTAAAAGTACCAAAAATAATACAACATTAATAATTTCATAAGTTTTTATAATATTACAAATTATAATACAGTTCATTTATAAATAAATATATTATAGTAAATTGGTAGTAATATATTTGTTTGCCTATTTCCAACATAACAAACAATTTGATAATTCTATACTATTTTAATAAATCATTTACAGCTAACAAATGAAATGTTTATTACCCCTTAGTTTAAGTTATATTGAATTATAAGGAAATAATGTGTACCTGATACTTCGTGTTGAGACAAACTTTGTATAAATCTGTCGGAAATGTGCGATATGTGAGCCATCATTGCCCGCAGTTTACCCGACGTGAACACCGGCGACAGTATAGATCGCTGGCGTTTCCAGTCGTCATTCCCGGGCATAAAAAACAGACTCTTATCGAGTTTAGACGTACCAAGGTGAAAGTCCAAGTGATGTGGCCATACGTGAAAGTCCTTGACAAATATGTCCCTGAGCAAATCGGCGTCGTTGATGTTGATTACTTTTTGCGTGAAAGTGTACATGCCAA